CCCATCTGTCTCCATCATATCTGTCTGCTCTGGGTGGCTTTATTAGGCTAAGGAACTGACTGTCCTTCCGTTCCTGGTTTTCTGCATGTTCTTTTTTTTTTTTTTAACATTTTATTAGGGGCTCATACAACTGTTATCGCAATCCATACACACATCAATTGTGTAAAGCGCACTTGTACATCATTCTCAAACCATTTTCTCTCCACTTAAAGCCTCAGCATTAGGTCCTCATTTTTCCCCTCCCTCCCCCGGTCTGCATGTTCTTACTGTGAAAGGATATTGGATTTTGTCCGGGTTTTTTTTTCTGTGTTAACTGAGATGATCGTGTGATTTGTGTCCTTTTAATTCTCTTTATATGATGTACTGCATCGCTTTCCACATGTTAGACCAGTCTTGCATCCCAGGATTAATCCCACGTAGCACGATGTATAACTGAACTTGGCAGTTTTGTTAGTATTTTGTTGAGGATATGCACATTTGTACTTATAAGAGAAATTAATCTGTAGCGGTTTGTTCTCTTTGGTGACTGTCCAGTCTGAGTATCAGGGTGTCGCTGACATCAAAGCATGATGTGGGAAATATACCCTCCTCTTCTCTTTTCTGGAAGAGTTTGTGAAGTATTGGTTTTGACTTTAAATGTTGGGTAGAATTCAGTAGTGAAGCCCTCTGGGTCAAGGCTTTTTCTTTATGGATCGTTTTTTGTTTTGTCATTTTCACTATAAACTCAATCTTTCGCCTGTTATACATCTATTCGGATTGTCTATTTCTTCTTGTATCTTTCTATAAATCTTTCCATTTCTTATAAAATATTTAAGTCACTGACAGTTACGAATGTTTTTCATCAATGCCTTGGACGTTTTTTCTTCAAGTACCCTCAGCGGTTGATCATATGCTCCTCAAACATTTCTTTTGGGTACACCTGGCGCATCTTCCTTCAATACTATTGGTTCTTGATCACTCTTGAATGGTTGAATGTTGACCAGTTCTTCTGGGTACAGTGGGTCTGTGTATTCTTTCCATCTTCTTTTGATGTTTTCTGCTTCATTCAACATTTTGTCCACAGAATACTTTAGTATTACAACCCGAGGCTTGAACTTTCCCCCGACAGTTCTTTCAGCTTGAGAAATGTCAAGTGTGTTCCTCCTTTTTGGTTTACTCACTCCAGGTCCTTACACATATCATTGTAATACTTTGTCATAGACTGCAGAGGAACAAACAAATCTGCCTCAGAAGCAGTTAGACGGTTCCTTAGAAGTGAAGCTGACAGACTTCATCTCGTACTTCGGGCATGTTATCAAGAGGAACCAGTCCCTGGGGAAGGACACCATGCTTGCTAAAGTGGAGCGTCAGTGAAAAAGAGGAAGCTCCTCAATGAGATGCGATGGATTGACACAGTGACTGCAACAGTGGGCTCAAATATAGTAGCAATGTTTCATTCTGTTCTATGAGTTAAAACCAACTGGAGAGTACATAACAGTAGTACAATGTATGTACCCACGAAGCTTCACCACCCACTGCGGTTGAGTAGATCCCAACTCACAGTGACCTCATAGGGCAGAGTAGACCTGCTCCTTTGTGTTGCCAAGACATCAGATCTTTTTTTTTTTTTCAGGGGCAGGCCAACAAGGCTTGCTTTTATTGAGTGACTGATCAATAGAACTTCCAAGGCCACGATATCCAGAGAAAAGAGGGAGAGTTTATTTCCTGGTCTCTTCCTCCTTGGACAGAGTCTTGACGATCTCTTCTTTCTTGGCCTGGAGTCGCTCCTCTCGGTGCTTGCGTGCTTCCTTGGCCTTAGACCTGCGCGTCTCAGCCTGGCCAGCCAGGAGCTTCTTGTGAGCCTTGTCTGCCTTCAGCTTGTGGATGTGCTCCATGAGAACCCGCTTGTTCTTAAACACATTCCCCTTCACCTTTAGGTACAAGCTGTGATACATATGGCGGTCAATCTTCTTTGACTCCTGGTATCTCCTGAGCAGCCGGCGCAGAATCCGCATCCCCCTCATCCACGTGACCTTCTCAGGCATTCGAGCATTGGCAGTACCCTTTCGCTTACCTATGCTCATATGCCTGCCCTTCCAGCAGGCTAGGGTATTTTTGTGGCACCGGGCCTAAGAATGGACGGTCACAGGCTTGCGGATGATGAGGCCATCTTTGATCAGTTTCCGGGTTTGCTGATGGGAGTTGGCATTGGCAATTTCATTGGTCTCGTTGGGGTCCAGCCAGACTTTCTTCTTGCCACAGCTGAGGAAGCTGGAGGCAAGCCTCTTCTGAAATTTGAGCATACTCGTGGCTGCGGCCCGCAGCGCCAAAAGGAAAGCAAGACGTCAGATCTTTATAGGAGCAGACAGCCTCATCTTTCTCCCACAGGACAAGGGATGGATTCAAACCTCTGACCTTGTAGACGGTCATTTTACTATGCCCATTTTACTATGCCACCACGCCTCTTTAAAAGAAAAGCTTCCCTAACTAGAAATCTAACCCTGGGTCATGGCAGTGAGAACACCAAATCCTAATCCTTGCATAATTTGCCCCCCTGTACAATCAGTATTGATGTCTCCTTCTTTATTTCTAATTTAGTAATTTGAATCAGATCCCTGGTGGCATAGTGGTTACATGTTGGGCTGTGATCCAAAAGGTCTTCAGTTTGAAAGCACCAGCAACTGCTTGGGAGAAAGATGGGACTTTCTACTCCCATAAACAGTTAAAGTCTCGGAAACTTACAGGGGCAATTCTACCCTGCCAGGTAGAGTCGCTAGGAGTCCACACTGACCCAACGGTAGTGACAGAGTTTGAGTCTACTTGCTAATGAGTCAAAGTCGGTTGGATGGCGGTGAGTATGGTGGTTTTGAGTTTTTCTTTTTTTCTTCTTAAAGAGCTCTGGTAGTATACTCGGTTGATCAAAGTAGCTAAAGTTTTGTCAGGTTTTTAAAATCTTCTCCAAAAAGCAGGTTTTGGTTTCGTTGAGTTTCCTTTTTTTGTTAGTTACTGCTCTAACCATTACTCTTTTCTCCCTTCTGCTTGCTCTAGATTTAGTTTTATCTTGTTTTCCCTTTGTCTTCAGCTAGAAGGTTGATTTGAAATTTCTCACTTTTTTGATGTAGACCTTTACAGCTCTGAATTTTCCTGGAAAGATGACTTTAGCTGCATGCCAGTTTCTCCATGCTGCCTCTTGATTACTACTCATCTCCAGATTGCTTAACTTCCACCTGTGAGCCTCCAGCTTTCTTACTGTTATTATTAGCTGTATTCCATTGTGGTCAGAGAACATTCTTGTCTTATTTCTTTCCTTCTCCATGGATTGAGGTTTTTCATGGCCTAAAGCGTTCCATGTGCGCTTTAGACAGTATCTATGCTGTTGCCGTTGGCTGATTACTAGCCGTGTCAGTCAGGTCCAGTTGGCTTACAGGGTTCCAGTCTTCACTTTCCCTGTCAGTCCACCGATTGCTTGATCCATTATCGAATTGTCCATTTCTCCCTTCACTTGTATCAATTTTGGCTTCATGTATTTGGATACTGTTATTAGCTGTATGAATGTCTTAACTGTAGTATTTTCTGATGGACTTTTATCATAAAATGTCCCTTTTGTCTCTATCAGCGTGTTCTTTATTTAATAGCTTATTTTATCGCATATTAGTATGGCCACTCCAGTTTTCCCGTGATTGCTGGTCACATGATGTATCTTTTCCCAATCTCATTTTCCATCTATTTATACCAATGATTCTAAAGTGTTTCTCCTGTAGGAAGCAACATAATCGGATTTTTAAATCCAGTCTGACAGGTCCCTCCCCATTGGTTGGTCTGTGCAGTTCACTCACATCCAGTGTGATTATTCATACAGTCGGCTTCACATCTGCTACCTTACTTTTCGTAAATCGGTTTTGTTTTGGCTACTTTGGAGATCTCGTCTGTTAAGTCTGACAACTGGTTGTTTTCACAGTTTTTCTTGTCTGATATTTTCCTGCCATATGGGCCGCACTTTCCTGATTCTTCTATCATAGTTTTGTTGTAAACCGAACATTGTAGATAAAATACTGCAGCAACTTTGGTTGTAGCCTCCCCCTGAGGTTTGTTTTTTGTTATTGCTTACGTGTGTGTGTTGTGGGGCAGGTGACTGGATCATCTTTTCAAGTTGACGCCGACTCAGAGTGACCCTATAGGCCAGGCAGACTTCCCCTGTGAGCTGCTGAGGCTATCAATCTTTACAGGAGCAGAAAGCCTCATCTTCTCAAGGAACCACTTGGTGGGTTCGAACTGCCAGGTTTGTCGTCTACAGCCCAACTCATCACCCACCTTTCCTTGACCACACCAGATATGAAGCCCCCTGACTGCTGGCTGATTTCGCTAGCGTTCACAGCCGTGTAAAGCCAGCACCAAACCCACTGCCATCAAGTGGGCTCCCACTCATAGTGACCCTACAGGACAGAGCCAGACTGCTCCCGGAGTTCTGAGTCTGTCCATCTTGAGGCAAGCAGGCTGCCTCATCTTTCTGCCTGAGTGGCTGGTGGGTGTGGACCTCCAGCCTTAGCTGACCAGAGCCTGTGCCACTTGAGCCCCACCAGACTTCCTCCTGGCAACACTAGAGGTATAAACTCTGCCCTTCACCAACCTAACCCAGAGGCGGCTCCAGGTCAGCACAGAGGAGGAACCTTCTGTTTTATCTGTGAGGGAAGTTAGGATCAGCGGGGACAGAGGGACGCAGCCCGGGCTTTGGGTTGCCGCGGGCTGGGAGGAGGACCGGCAGAGGAGGGAGTGGCCTCAGTTAAACAGTCTGGCTGAGACCCTCAGGAGTGGGTGTTACTTCCTTGGTTGTTTGACCTCAGGGGCAGTCCCGGCTCCTTTCAGGATTTTTTGTCTTTAAGTACCCTTCCCCAGTAATTCGGGGCTGGCTCAGCAGTGCCAGGAGTGGACCCCCTTTCCCTCTCCTTCTTGGGGTGCCTGGGTGTTCCCCTCCCAGGCTGCGCTGGCTGAGACCTGCCAACCCCGCCCCTTCCTTCCCACAGGGCGAGTGCTCCCCCAAGTGCCGCAACCTCTTTGTGCTGGAAACGGTGTGCGTGGCCTGGTTCTCCTTCGAGTTCCTGCTGCGCTCCGTGCAGGCCGAGAGCAAGTGCGCCTTCCTGCGGACGCCGCTCAACATCATCGACATCCTGGCCATCCTGCCCTTCTACGTGTCGCTACTGGTGGACCTGGCGGCCGGCGGCCGACCCGGCGCGGGCGCGGGCCCTGCGGGCGGGAATAAGCTGCTGGAGCGCGCGGGGCTGGTGCTGCGGCTGCTGCGCGCGCTGCGCGTGCTCTACGTCATGCGCCTGGCGCGCCACTCGCTGGGGCTGCGCACGCTTGGGCTGACGGCGCGGCGCTGCGCGCGCGAGCTGGGCCTGCTGCTGCTCTTCCTGTGCGTGGCCATGGCTCTCTTCGCGCCGCTCGTGCACCTGGCCGAGCGCGAGCTGGGCGCGCGCCGCGACTTCTCCAGCGTGCCGGCCAGCTACTGGTGGGCCGTCATCTCCATGACGACCGTGGGCTATGGCGACATGGTGCCGCGCAGTCTGCCCGGCCAGGTGGTGGCGCTCAGCAGCATCCTCAGTGGCATCCTGCTGTTGGCCTTCCCAGTCACCTCCATCTTCCACACCTTCTCGCGCTCCTACTCGGAGCTCAAGGAGCTGCAGCGACGCGCCGCCAGCCTCGAGCCCACCCCGCGCGAGGACAGCACGCGCTCCCCGACCGAGGGCAGCGCGCACAGCCCCGACGGCCTCCTGGCGACCGCGGACGCAGGCAGTGCGGACGCAGGGCCAGGGCCCGAGCAGTGGGCCTGAGCACATCGTCCCTGACCTCATCTCCCGCCGGCCCGGAGACCCGGACCCAGGCTTCACCACGGCTGCCAGCTGAGAAGGAGGGTCTTTGCTCGCCTGGCCTCTGCCAAAGCCCGCTGCTGCCAGTCCATGCCGCTGCCCGCTGGGGGGGGGGCGGGCATCCCAGCCCCTTTAACCCAATGCCAGCTCCTCCTCTTGGGTTCCCACAGCTGCGGTCCCCGCCCCCACTCCAGTGTATGCCCCGCAGCGCTGGATAGGCCTCACCCAGCCCACATCTTGCCCCCTGCAGCGCCCCCATCTTCTCCGTGGGTCTCAGCCCAGGCGGGGGAAGCGCCCCCAACGTGGAGTGCCCCAGAAGGCTATGGGAGACTCCGCCGGGCAATCCAGCGTTCTCTTCAAACTGCATGCCCAGGGGTGGCCGCCACACACACAGCAGGTCCCCGCACCCCTAAGGGAGCTGTCAGAGACCTGTACCACAGCCTTGTAGCAGCAGCACCTCCACTGTGCAATAAATCCATGCACCCACCCAGTTGTCTGCTTCTCGGCCCTGGGGCCACCTGCCCAGGCGGCAGGCAACAGTGGAACTGGCCTTGACACCTTCCTGACCTGCCAGCCCCAGCCCCTCCATCCCCACTCCTAGTAGCACCACATCCGTGAGCATGCTGGGACACATACCCCCCATATCCCTGTCTGCCTCCCCCACCACGAAGGCAGGGGGTGTTCCAGGGGTGTTGGAATGAGCACCCCAGAATGCCCTGCCCTCCCGTGTGGCCTGCTTCCAGCCCTGGTACATCTCACAGGCTCCACATCCTGGGTAGCCCTGTTGCCTGAAGCCATCTCCAGTGGCCCACACAGGGCTCCCTGGAGCCCCAAGCAAAAAGGGCTTCCCTTGCCCTGGCCCTTTTAGTGTTTAGCAGTCCCCAGGTTTGGAGGTGGGGTCCCTATGGCAGTCCTTGGGGTGCACTGGCCACTGATTTCAGCTGGGGAGGCAGATGCCCAGAGCTGGGCCAGGCCTCCTGACTGAGGCTCTGGAGTGCTCATCTGCTCCTGCGGTCCTCGGGTGGCTCCTCCCCCCCAGGCCAGTGGGGACTATCAGAAGGGGAGTTGGAGAGGGCAGGGCCAGGCTGACACCCCTGAGATGGGCAGCTGTGGCACATTCCTGCAGACAAGGGCTCAGCCTGCTGCCCCCAGGAACACCTGGAACCAGGGCTCCAGGGACAGGCTGGCCTGCTGCTGACGGTCAGCTGACCCCTCGGGCTTCTGATGCCCCACCTGACCTGTGTGACCCTGCTACTTCCATCCTCAAAGCTGCCCTCAAGGCATCTGCTGCCTTTTCCCTGGTGGCTGTTGAGTGACCTGTTTCCGCTGCCACTGGGTGACCACACCAGGAGGGAAGGACTCACCCATGCATCTCTACCCCCCTCCACCCTCACCTCCAGGGACTCACAGGGACAGCCCCACAGGCCCAGGAGCCCCTCCAGACCAGGCAAAGGCCACTCGGTCACTGCAGGGAGTGCTTGTTGCCTGCCAGTTCTCGAGACTAAGTGCCCCAAGGGCCACATTTCCTGTCCAACAAAGGGATACTCTGGCCGCGGCTGAGGCCTGTTGTCCTCAGAAGCACGATGAGCCCAAGATTGCCAGCGCCCCCAGTCTTCCCCTCCTTCCCTGAAGGTTATGTGGCCTGCCCTCACTCGCACTGACCCAGTGGTCTTCCCCCACACGCTGATCAAATGACCTGTTTTCCTCACCCTGACCCAGTGGCTTTTCCTTCCCATGCTGAGTTCATGGTGTGCAAGCACGTGACACACACGCTGACCATGAGTGGTCCTATGTGTCCCAACAAGGCTCCACGCAGGGCAGGCTGGGTGCCAGGACCCGTTCTCACCCCCAGACCCAGAGCACCTGCCTGCCTGCCTGCTGTGGGTGAACTCCGGGACCTTTGTGGACACAGCACACAAAGCACCTTCTTTGTGCTGTCTGTCACTGGAATTGGTCTGAGGACAGGGGCCTGTTTGGCCACGCAGCTGTTTTCAGTGCCCAGTCTTCCCATGCCGCTCTGCTCCCCTGCAGACACTCAGTCACCAGCCCACAAGCTTTACCCTTCCTGGGCTTCTTGGTGACCAGCTCAGCATTTGATAGGCAGCTCTGGTCTGTGACCATTAACCACACACCCACCTCCTCCCTCTCCGCCCAAACAGGCCCTTCAACAGAACCCCAAACTCCACCCCTGCCTCAATGGGCCCCTGGGACTGCCTGCCTGAGCAGGGCAGCACAGGTGTGAGTCTGTCTTACTGACTGTACTGGGGTCTGAACCCCCACACCTATTGCCACACAGGCCTGACCCCTGTTCTAGGGGCAGGGTACCCACCAGCTTCTTTCCAGTCAGCTAGCTCTGAGGGCAGCGGCAACAGCAGCTGGGGGGAAGGGGATGGCAGGTAAGGGCTAACCTTTAATCACATCTCTCAGCTCTCCACCTGCTCTGCCAGAGGTGCGCACCCAGCCCGCGCAGCATCCAGATGCCCCACTGAAGCAAGCAGGTGAGACCCCAGTCATGCCACAGGCAGCCCCTCCACCATGACAGTGCCATCATGGGGCAGAGCAGCTCCCAAGGGGGCGGTTCCAGGCCGGGATCCTCCAGGGCAGCAGCCAGCCCGTCTTTATCCTGAGCGTGAGCGGCTGGTGTGACTCATCACTGAGATCCAGGTGACAGAGGAGGGCCCCAGGCTTTCCAGGCTGTTCTTTCCCGGGACTACTCACTACAGTCAATGGTGTAAACCCTCCAGTCGGCCTGAAGGAGAAAGACAAGGCTGTCTGCTTTCATGGAGATTCCAGCCTGGGAACCACGTGGAGGGTCGCTGTGCACAGGAGCGGAGTGTACGGACCGCAGCAGGTTTGGGGCTCTGGGAGGTCACTGGTCCTCCTGCAGCTGCCCTGTGGGGTTGAACCACCAATCTTTCGAGCAGCACCTGAGTGTTTGCCCTAAATCCTGTCTCTAGAACTTTAAGCACTGTCCCACCCAAGGCAGTAGAGTTGATGGGAAGCAGGGACCCTGGTCGTGGGAACTGGTAACACCTGGGGTCCTTCAGGTGGTGCCAGAGGCGGGGCCAGCCCTCCTGCAAATGGTCAGACCCCAGCTCCAAGAGGCCCAGCTCTGGCGTCAGTGGACAGCCCCAGATCAGTGGGGTGTAGAATAGCATCCCAAAGGGCTATCCCTTGCCCACATGGCTTACAATCAGGTACTGCGACACCCACGCCCCATGGAGAGAAGCGGGGGTCGGAGTGCCTGACAAACCCCACCCCCTTACAAAGATGTATCTACAACAAGACATTGTCTGTAGTCCTTTATTGATTGAAACGGGCCCCAAGGCCAGATGGGAGCCCATTCACCCAGTCACTGGGGATGTGCTCTGCAGAGGCTGCAACTGAGTGTGGCCCAGCCAGAGTGGAGGATGGCCTCCATGGTCTGCCCCAGCCTGGGGTTGCCTCCACACCGTCCCACAACAGCTGGCTCCTCCGCCCAGCAGAAGGTGATGGCTGTGGGCACAGTCTGTGTGAACCCCTGAGACTGGACTTAGGGGAGCAGGGGGCAGAGGCGGGCCCAAGCCTGTAAGGTCACTTTCAGCCCAAGCGGGATCTGAGGTATAGGGCACTCCTGGGGGTGGGGCCTGCCCTAACCAGGGCCTCGTCCCCACAGCGAGGTCCAGGGTCCTGCTCAGAGCCGTCAGAGGTTCAATGCCCATATCCCCAAGCAGCTCAGTCCTGTCAGCTCCCCCACTCACCCTCAGGAACAGAAAAGCCGTGCAGCCACGAAGGCGGGCCAGACTCTACCCCACTCCGGATCTTGGAGAGCTAGCTCTGCCCCACAGACAGCAAGGACAAGAAGGACTCGGGCAGTATCTGGGCCACCTCCATCACATGCCATCGTGCAGGGCCTCAGGCTGCGCCCCAACACCAGGTCTGCCCCTGTTCTCACCCACCCCGCCTGGGTGTCGTGCTGCCCAGCCCTGCCCGGTGCTTGGTAGAGCCTTCGCTCGAGTGGCACAGTCCAGCCAGTGTTGACGGCCTGGAGAAGGCTTACTTGCCCAGTCACGGAAGGGCAGCGGAAACCCACCTTTGGGCTCCCCAAATGAAGAGCACTGTGCCCCCTGCCTTGGGCCTGCACCCCAAGAGCTTCTCACCTCAGCCTCCTCTCCCACCCGGGCCTCCGGCCCTGCAGACAGCAGGTGTCAGGTCTAGCCCCAGGCTTCAGAGGGCCTTGGCGCTGGCAGGGTGGGTGGTGTGGGGTACTGGCTTGGAGGACCGGTGGGCGTATGCATAGGCCTGCCCCAGGATGGCCAGGTCGACAAGCACCTGCAGCAGGCCACACACGGAGAACTGTAGCGGCACGGAATGCAGCAGGAAGTAGGCTGTCTTGAAGGTGTCCCCGCTGGTCCACATCAGCACCATCTTGATGCTGCACAGAGACACATGGGTCAGAGGCCTGTGGGGCAGTGGGCACACTGGGCCCTGCCACCAGAGGGCTGGGCTGTGATTGTGGGGGCTGAGAGGAGATACGTTTTGGTGGAGCTAAGGCAAGCCTGGCACAGCAGCCTCAGCCTCCCACAAACTGCGGGGATCAGACATCAGAATACTGCCCTGGGCTGGGGGTGCATGGTCGGGATAAGGCACAGAGACCAGGGGAGCAGGAAGCTGGGAGGGTGCCACCTCGCCACACACAGGGTGCTGTGGATGAGACCACTAGCAGTGGCACTTCTGCAGCTAGCACACCTTTGCGTACAGCGGAGCCGAGAAGCCTAGACCAAGCTACTCCTAGATAACTCCAAGTGGCTGGACTGCTGGCAGTGTCCACAATGCCTCCATCAGACAAGCCCCAGAGGCGCCCGAAGCAGGACCTGTTCTCCTGCAGAAAGTGTGTTTACTAAGACACACTTGCATTGGCAGCCTCTTTCCCAGCAAATCACACGAGACTGTGGAGTTTGAGATCAAGAGAGCTCACTTGGGGAGGGAGGACGGGCTGCCTGCCTGATTCTGGGCTCTCAGGGGAGAGGGATATGTCCCCATGTCCCAGGGACACAGGAGCTCTCAAAGAGGTGCCACTGTACAAGGAGGCTCTCAAAAAAAGGCACAAACAGCCTGCTGCAGATGCCGAGGCCGAGGCCATGATATGGAGCCCTGAATCCCCAGGTGAGGGTCTTGTGTGCACAGGCCACTTCCCCCCACCACCACCACTGCACCTGCCACCTGCCATGCCATCTGGGAGGCAAGGGTTGGAGAGTTTCAAAGGGGGTAGAAATGAGTGTGTTTTAGACAAATTGTATTTGACTTGCTGTATCATTTCAAATGTCTCAAAAACTTTCTGAGCTAGTTGAAAACTAATTCTATGTAAGCAAACAAAAGACTTCCTGAAGTTTTTCTCCAGAATATTTTACACTCTGAATTCAATTTCCTTATTAGATACAGGCAATTTGCATTGTCCAATTGTTTCCTGTCCAAGGAAAGCCCAGCAGCCATCACAGGTGATGGCTGTGTTGATTTCCTAGCATTGTGGAAACAAAGTACCACATGCAAGCTGGCGTAAAACAGAGAGGATTCTTCAGCCTGGAAGTGGAAACTCCGAGACCAGGAATGGGTGGGGCCGCTTTCCCTTGGAAGCTTCCCTGGTAGACGCTTTGGGCCTCTTCCTGGCTCCTGGTGGCTGCTGGGCTTTCCTTGGAAGCACGCCCACCTCTGCCTCCCTCTACGCGTGGCCTCCTCTCCCTGCATCTCACTGGCAGAGCATGACAGCACCTTGCTCACATCTGTGAATAAGGTCATGTTCAGAGGTCCTGAGAGTGGAGCCGCCACTGTACCTTCAGGGAGACACAGGCCAGCCATAGCAGCCCTTCCTGGAATGGCTCCCTTTCACCTGCATCCTTGGAGTGACAGCAGGGAGCTCTTCAGGGCAACCTTCGAATGTTTGCCTGTTGATACCATTCAGAGGGGCTTCTTGGGAAAATTCCACCATCCTTTAATCCCACTTGCCCAGGAAGGTTGTGCGAAGTGGGTTTCCTGTAGACAGCAGCCTGACGCGTGCTGTCCTTTCCTATGTGACCCCAGTCCCCTCTTCCTGCAGCTCCTCTTAGGGACCTCGATGTCATAGAGCAGTGAGCAAACAGCTCGGCCTATCAGTAACTCACATCGGCTCAGAGGCCAGCTGCTGGATGGGCACAGGGTCAAGACTGGGGTAGCCCACAGTAGCCAGCAAAGGCTCTGCTGCCCCAGGCAGAACCCCAGTGAAGTCAGAGCCCCAGCACCCAGCATCACCCCTACAAATGCCAAAGGAGTAGCCTTCAGAAGAAATCACAAACTTGCACTCCCAGCAAGGTTTCCACAAGTGCAGGTGGTGCTTGGGGCCCAGACCTTGTCCCTGCTCCAGTGCCTCCCTGGCCCTAGCCCTAGCCCCCAGTCTGCCCAGCAGAGGGGGTGGAAGCCAGAGAGGAGCAGGGCTGAGGTCAGGACGGGCTAGGGCACTGGTTCCCAACCCATGCACTGCCCCTCCCTCCAGTCACTGTGGCCACTCCACCTCTAGCAAGAGCTCTGGCCTCCAGTGGGCTGGGCACTGCCGCAGGGCCGCTCCCACACTGGACAGCCCCCAGCCTGGCCTGCGGAGCAGACTCCTCAGGAGTTAGGTGATCCCTGTATGGCTGAGGGACCCCCACCCTAGCATCCTTCACATGATGCCCCCCCCCCCCCCCCACACACACCCCCACATCCGAGTCCCTCACAGAGGCCAGCACCTAAGCTTGGGAACAGGTGGGGGTGCCTCAGGCCTGAAGGATGAGGGGGTAGACCCAGAGGCCCATTAGGGTGCTACTGAGATACCTAAAGGTCACCTTCCAGCCACCCCAGAAACTCCAGAAAACACCCATCTGTTTGTCCCACACACACACACTTCCCACTGGGTCAGACTCAAGTGGGAGCAAACTGCCTGGGGCGCTGAGATGCAGAGAGTCAGGGCTTGCAGGACCCAGCAGGTGCCCCCCAAGATCCAGGTGCTGAGAAGTATGTGGTCAGCCGGGCCTCCATTAGAGGGGGGGGGGGGGGGGGGGGGTGTGGTCACCAATGAGGCATGCCAGGCATGCTACACGGCCCTCGGGTCTGTCTGGTTCTAGATGCCCTGTGTTAAGGTCACTGCAGACAAGGATGATGTGTCCCCACTCCACCCCCACATCGTGCCCCTCAGCCAGCCCGCCACACAGCCTACCTACCTCATGCCCTCGGTGGAGCGGTGGTGGTAGTTACGGCAGAGCTGCGGCACACCCAGCATGGCCTCCGTGAACACAGCCAGGAAGCCCAGCGTCTCCACAAAGAGGGCCGAGTCGATGCACAGGTAGGTGATGTAGCCCGCCACACCCGAGAAGGCCAGCACACACTGCAGGTAGTCGGAGAAGCTGCTCCAGCACCAGAAGTGGTGCGGGTCGAAGTCTAGGACAAGAGGTGCCATGTGAGCTCCGAGGCTACCACGCAGAAGGCCAGTTCAGGCCCAGCAACCGGTGACCCTGATCTGCAGTGGATCGTGAGTTAGAGGGCAAGCAAACTTCATGGCAGGACTGTGATGGCTACCCTACCTTCCCTCAAGCCCCATGAGGTGGGCAGTGCTGCGCCCCAGGAAGTCAGCCTCTGCTGTGCGTGTGCTGGGCTGCTCAGATGACCGTGGCAGTGCGGTGGGCTCTGAGGTCCAAGCACCATGTGGAATATGGGGGGCAGGGGGGAGTGGAAGTGAGTGGCTGCCAAGGATGAGTTTGCTCGCTCTGTGGGGCCCAAGCTCCGGGTCACTCACCCTGATCAGCAAACTAAACCAGAGTCCTGGGAGGTGCTCGAGTGGAGGTGGGCTGAAAGGAGTGGGTGGCCGGAGGGGAAGAGATGCTGGGCCTGATTGCAGGGGCAATGATTCTTCTAGTCATTCTCCAACTCACACCAAACAACCTTTCCCTGCCTGGTCTGGTGAGAAGTGGGGAAGATACAGACAGTCTTGCCCTGGGAGTCCCTACTAACATGCTTCCCTGGAGTGCCGTTCCGTGCCTCTGAGAAGCCCTCGGAGCTTCACCATGGTGACCAGAAGCCGCACCCTGCACCCAAGTGAGCACAAAGACTGACTCCTCCCAGCTTGTCCCCCATGGGGGTGAGGCTCTCTCAGGGTGAGTGAAGCAGACAGAGTCCGGAAAGGAGCCCCACCTCCACCCCCCAACCCCGACACACACAGGAATGCTCAGCTGTCCAGTCAGCAGAGCAGAGAAGGGCAGGGACAGATGCAGCCGGGCTTCCGGCCCCAGCCCCTCCATCCCCCGCAGCTGGAGGCACCTCGACCACCACAGGCACCCTCCTTAGACTGGCTGTGGGGCCCACCAGCCACCTAGATCTTCAAAACAGTGCCAGTGTCTGTGAGTCACAGAAAGCAGACAGACAGCCCTGCAACTCTTGGTGTCCAAGCAGCCAGAGCCAGGCGAGGCGGCAGCTCCAGAGCCCCAGCAAGCACCCAGGGCACTGGGAGCACACGGTGCGTGTGAGCTGATAAACCCATGGCTGGCATAGTGAGGCCCTGCAGGAGTGAGGATCCCACAGAGCTGGTGACCTCAAGGAGGCCCCCAGTGGGCAGTGTGGCACAGTGAGGCCGGTCCTGGGGAGGAGTGCTCCCTGGTCATTGACCGACAAAGAGTGTCTGGGAGCACCTGCAGGGATGGTGGTGGAGCAGGAGGTAATTACCAAGGACGTCTGCAGTGATTCACAGGGATGTCAAGGAACACACTCCAAGGAGGGCATGGCCCCAAGAGGCCATGACCACCACTGTCTGGGTGCTGAGTGCAGGGCCCCCAGAGGTGGTGGTGCTGTGGCTGCTGCCAGGAGGGGACACTAACCTGGCCTGCTGGCCCCTGCCTGCTCTGACTTGCGGGAACCTCTCTAACCCAATGCAGACCCTCCAGGCCCTTCTCATCTTCGCCTGCTGGACTCTGCTCCATAACAGGACTCTGGTGGCACTGCGGCAGCTAAGTAGCAGGTCAGCTGTTCAAACCCACCAGGGCCTCTGCAGGAGAAAGGTGGGCCTGGCTGCCCCAGCACAGAGTTACAGACTGGGAAACCCTCCAGGGTAGTTCTCCTCTGTCCCGGGGGACCCATACAGGTCACATGGGGCTTGACAGCAGAGTTTGATGTGGTTTGAGTCTCTGCTCAATGGGACAGCAAGGATGAGCAGAGGTAGGTTAAGTGTCTGCAATGACCCCTGGCTGGGCCTCCTGTGACCAGCACTGTCCCTGCTGTCCTACACCACACTAGGGTCTATCCTGAGGCTGACAGGACAATGAGCTGTGTTCCGAATGACCCCTATTACTGGATCACTGTGCATGTGCCTCACAAAGCAGAAGTGGCCCCAGAAAGACTGAAGCCCACACAGCACGGGAATAAATGAAATGACCCCAATCAGAGGAGAGGCCCTTCACTTTAAAAGCAAAACATGGGCTTCAGGGTGGCCTTCTGCGGACCACCTCACAAAGCAGGTGACTCTCTCTGGGTCTGGACACCTCCAGGTGCCCCCCCGCCCCCCACCAGGGGCCAGCTGAGAGCCCCGTCAGCTACGCTACTCCCCGGAGAAGCCCAATGGAGCCAGCCTCATCTCTGCAGCCCCCAGGCTGCTTGGGCTCAGCCATGGCTCAGGAACGGCGCTGCGAGTCACACAGACCTCCCTCCAGTCAAACAACATAATGAGGAAACCTACTACTTTATACGTCATTTAGAAGCTCTGGAAATGCTCAAAGGACATGCAGCACACAGGGAAGTGCGTGTTTAAGAACATCTACACACTCTCAGTCAGAGCCTGGAGCATCAAGCTCTCTCCCTGCCCTTGGTACCTGCTCAGGGTGCCACACTCCCTACCCCAGGATGGCGGCCATGCCCCCAGGCGGGCAGGCTGCCACCATTTCTCAGCCCTGGTCCAGGTCAGCATGACTGCGTCCAGAGCTCCCTCCCTCCACCAGCCTCCGCTCAAGTACAAGCTGTACCCCAGGTGACATACAGGGACTGCTAGTCCTCAAGTGCCCCCAGGCCCACCTTAGTGACATGAGGGTGGGAGGGGTCGTGGGAAAGCCATAAGCAGATGCTACAGCTCCCTCAGAGCCCCCTTGTAGAGTAGGAGACTCTGACTTAAGTTAGCTGCTGTGCAGTCTCTTGGCCTGCGCTGGGTCACTGCAAGTCCATATTGACTGCAAGGCAGTGAGTTTGGTTTCCCTTTGATAGCTCTTCGTGGCAGCAAGCCAATTGGGACCGTCTAAGAGTTTAACAGAGAGAAGCAGAAAAAGGAGCCTTCCCAGGGTCAGAGAGTATGTCAAAGATGGCTGCAAAGACCATCCCTGCAAAGCAGCCAACGTTACCTGGACCAGAAGGTGGGCAGTTCATGCTCCACAACAATATCAAAAACAACAGAGCAACCAGCTAGCCATTGGTGGAGGCTCCCTGGTGGCACAATGGTTAAGCACGCAGTTGCTAACTAGAAGGCGAGTGGCTCAATCCCCCAGCAGCAGCTGGGCAAGAGAATGAATGATGAGGCAGCCTAGGAGACCCTATAGGGCACTGTTACTCTGTCCTATAGGGTCACTGAGTTGGAATTTGAACAGCAGTGGGTTCAGCTGGGGTTCCACAGCTGGGTGTGATACAAGTAGAAGAAGAGCAGTCAGAAGTTGCACAAGGGGGTCAGGGAGAGGTGGAGAAAATGAAGCTACAACAGTCATTCCTTAGGGGAGAGAAGGGGAGGTCAGAGACTGCACCGTGGAAATACAGACCCCTCTGCACTGGTCCAGCCAAATGCTTATTCAAATTAACAACCAAAAGACAACTTTACCCCAAAAGTGGGTGATCGATACACAAAACTGCTATAATATAGCACTAAAATGCTCGGTTTTCAACAAAAAAACCTAGGAGACATGAAAAGCAACAAGAAAGTGTGGTTCACAAACAGAAAGGGAAGAAGGAGCAGAAAACAAAAACTGATTTTGGGGGTAAAGATGTTAGACTTATCAAAGATTCCCAAATAATTATTGCACACGTTCACAAAACAGAAGGAAAACAAACATAAAGAGTTAAAGGAAGACACTCTCATCAAACAGACCATCCTCGTAGAGATGAAGATTTCTAGAACTGATGGAAATAATTCACTCAAGGGGCTCAACAACAGAGTTGAGCTGGCAGAAGAAAGAATCTACACACACTGGAAGACAGATCAGTTGATATGAAATCTGAAGAACAAAGAAAATAGAATTAAGAAAATTGAGCAGTCTCAGAAAATGTTAGGCAATATGAATTGTACTAACACATACACGTATACCTGAAGGAGAGAAGAGAAAAAGGAGTAGGAAGAACATTCAAAGAAATAATGAAAAGATGGATATGGTTAAAATATGAATCCACACATCCACGAAGCTCAACAAACTCCCAAGTAGAATCAAGCAAAGAGATACATGCAGTCACATGAGTCTAGAGGTTGAAAGCCAAATAAAAAGATAAAAATCTTGATATCAGCAAGAGAAAAATGACTTGTCACTTATAAGGAAACAACAATAAGATTAACAGCTGACTTCTCATCACAAACAATAGAGTCCAGAGGGCAGTGGGACATTTTCAGAGTGCTTTAAAGAAAAAAGAAAAAACTGTCAACCAAGAGTCTCACATCCAGCAAAACTTTCCTTCTCCCGAAGCTGCAGATTCAGTGCCATCCTTTGAGATAAATTCTTCTCGGGGGTCAGCAAAACTTTCAAAAACAAAGAAAAATAAAGGCACTCCCAGAGAAACAAGAACTCAGAGAGTGTGTTGCTAACAGGCCCACCTTACAGAAAGTAATGAAGTAAGTGCTTCGTGATGAAAAGCAGGTGACACAAAACAATAATTAGGATCACGTGGGAAAAACAAGGAGCATGGGCACAATCACATAAGTAATTCTAAAATATAGTTTCCTGTTTCTTCTTTCTCTTAACTGATTTTAAAAAACAATTGCAAAAATAGCCAGTATTATGTTTGTGTTACTAATGGGCTTTACCATATAGAACTGTAATGAAAACACAACCCCAAGGAGGCAGGTGGGGAGATCTGTGTTGGAGGGAGGCGATGACATCAGAGAGTAACTCACTTTCACACAGAAACTGAGAAGTCAGGAAAACCATCAAGCGTGAAATATGAAAGCTTACAGACTACAACTGAATATATGCTCTCTTTTTTTCACTCTATTAGTAATTACAACAATGTATTATTAGGTATGCAACACAGGTAGACATAGTCATAAATCAATCATGTAAAAACTTTCAATCAATAACAGATGGAAAGTTTGGAAATATACTAATATGTGAAAATTAAAGGACTCATTCTTGAATAGCAAGTGACTCAAAGAAGAAAGCACAAGGGAAATTAGAAAATACTGTTAAAGTAGGACAAGAAAACCCTACCAAGTATTAGATGCTGCTGCTGAAACAGCACTTAGGTCTAGAGACACTGTGCCTGTCAGCACCTACACTCAAAAAGAAGAGAGAAAAAGACTCTCCAAGCACAGCCCTAACCTTCTACCTCAATAAACCGGAAAACAAGCCGCAAGCTAAACACAAAGCAAACAGGAGAGAAATAACATACTTAGAAAAGATAGGGAATTCTACCAAACATTTACAGAGAGCTTCATGCTATCACCTCACAAACTCTTGCAAAATACAATAGGGAACACTCCCTGACTCTCTTTATAAGGCCATTGTACCCTGATACTAATGCCAGGCAGACGTCATAAAATAGCCAACGGCATACGAACCAGTGCTCATAAGTAACACTAAAAGCTTCAACACAATTCTAGCAAGCAGAATCCACAACATAGAAGAAGGGTTATACGACATGACCATGTGGGCTTTAGTCCCAAGAATGCAAAATTGGTTCCATAAATGAAATGAATCAAAGAAATGAGCCATAATAAAGTCAAACACTACATGATCTCCCAACCAGCACAGAAAAGCTCTTGCTAAAGCCCCAGGCCTTTTCTTGATAGAAACCCTCGGCAAACCTGGGATAGAGGGACTTCCTTAACCTCCCGGGCACCCACCTCACTTCATCATGCAGACTGGGCGCCTTCCCCCCAGCTCAGATCATGGACAAGCCCAGGGCATCCGTCTCACATTCTACCCAATGTTTTACCAGCAGTTCCAGCCAGAGGAAGCTAATCAATAAAGATTTTGTTTTTTAAGGATCCAAATTAGGAAAGAGGGCATAAAAACTACCTCTGTTTGCAGATGGCATAATCTTGTGGGGGTGGGGGAAAGCCTAAGGAATCCACTGAAGAGCTATTCAAATAAACAAGTCCAGCAAGTTGCACAAGCAAGATCAATATTCCAAAGCCAAGTGCAGTTCTACCAAGGAGCCATGAATAAATCAAAACCAAGTGAAGGAAACAATTGCATTTAAAAAAACATCAAAAGGAATAAGTTACTTTGGAATAAATTAACAAGTGTGAAATGTGTACTCTGAGGCCTTCCCCCCCTACACACACACACACACACACACACACACACACACACACACACAAGACAGGAGCAAGCTTCTAGAGCAACGTCATGCTGCAGACGGGCAGGGTGGGCTGTTAATCCCCGTGCACGGCAGGTGAGGGCAGGCATGGCACATGGGTGCAGGATGAGGCACAGAGCCTCAGGGGTGAGATGAGCCACACGGCAGCCTCATGCAATGCACAATGCGGTACGTACCCAGGTAGGACCGCCTGAGGGGGGCTCTGACCTCTTCTTCCTTACTATCTGCAGGTCCATTAGGGACAAGGAGGGAGGGAGGAGAGAAGACAAGACAGACTGGTTTTAACTCTGACAAGCAGTTGTTTCCCAAGTGTTTTGAAAATATTTTAACCCTTGAGACAAAAAGAATGCCAGGTTGGGGGCTGTGTGCACTGGAAAGCCCACTTTTCCCACTCTTCTTCTTCCATCACAAGGGTGAGGAAGCGCGCCCACAGTACATGTGGTGTCTGAAGTCATAGGCCTGTGACCTGTGACCTTTCAGCTGGGCTGTGACAGGTGACACCGCAGGCCCAGAAACTGGCCTCTGTGACTGCCTCCCTCCTCCAGAGGCTTTCTCACTGGGCCTCTGCCCAGGGTCAGACAGGGCACAAAACACGTGACACAGATGTGTTCCTAAAGGGAACAAATGCATGTGGCGGCCATAGTGACCCTCACGTGACCAGGCCCCTGCGCAACCCCACCAGGCTCAGAGCCCCAGAGACCAAGCCACTCTGCAAGGGGAAGAATCAGCTCATGAAGAGAGCCTTGGCGCCAGCAGGCTCCAAAAGCAGCCGTGGGACAGAAAGGTGTGTCACCTGCCCCAGGCAATGCAGGGTCGACAGCTCACAAGCCAACAGGTAAGAGCAAACACCAGGCAAAATGCACCCCAGGACTGGTGTCCCCAGAGAGCTGAGGCTTTCATGGGCAAGAGCAGAGGGCAATGCGGCCCTCCCCCTGTCCCTGCTCCCACCAGCTCCTTGTCACTGTCACTCCCATGCCTCTGCTTCACTTCAATCCTACAGACCAACCTCCCTGCATCCATCCCCCCTCCAGGCCTGGGTCCTGAAAAACAACTCCTTTACCCCCAGTGGAGCTGGAGGCTGCTTCTATAGGACCATGCTGCCCCTTCCGGGCTCTGTGTCTGTCTCCACATGGCCACCTTCCTTCTGTGCCTCCAGTCTTGTCCCTTCTTGTGGGGACATGTGTCATTTGATTGGCTGTACAGCCTGCACCCAGGATAACTCCATCTCAAGTCCCTAAACTACCCCATCTGCGAAGATCCTGCTTCTACCTGAGCCACATTCTGGAGTTCTGGGTTGATATAAATTTGGGGGGGGGGTGTCCTATACAACCACCACAGGCTGTGTGGTGAACATGAAACAAGCATCTGTGGGGAGCAGCTCCCAACTTCTAGTAGCTGCGGGGTCACAGTGGACTGAGAGAAGCATGCCCCTCACTTGAAGACCATAGGGCACGGGGGAGCAGAGAAATTCCCTATTGCTCGCCCCAATGTCTGCAGACTCCCAGGCTGGGTCAGAAGTCGTCATGAACCACGCAGGGTGAAGAGCTGTGAGGGGTTGGCAGGGATGTGTCCTTCCCAGGGGCTCCGGAAGAACTCCTTTCTGTCATGTGGGTGGTGGCAGAACCCAGCAGAACCCAGGCCTGGGTCTTCAGGGCTGTGTGATGAGGGAGGCCCTGCATTCCTCAGCTCACAGCCCTTCCTTCCATCAACAGTGCCAGCCACAGAGGGTCAAGTTCTTCTCACACCATGTCTGTGACCATCTTCTCCCCCTTCTAAGGACCCTGAGAAGAGATTGCCTCCTCCCCGGCTCCCCCCTCCCCGCCCCGCAGGGGAATCTCCACTCATTAAGCCCACCACCTGAGTTCCTCTGGCCACAGCAGGGAGCGTGCATGGTCCTAGGGAGTGGGGACGTGGGCATCCTTGGGAGCTGATATTCAGACAAAGTGCAGATTCCAGCCACTTCCTACAGCTTGAGAGCCACCATTTTCATTAAATCCACCTTTACTATTGGGGCAATTGATGTCTATAGAATGCAGACATGCAGAAAGAATGGCAACTGGTAACCATCCTATCAACTTCTGACTGAAAGCTTCCCTCTCAGGGATGGCACGGCCCCACCACGGCCAGGCCATGACACCTCTGTGACGTTTGGTTGTCCACTCTGTGAGGGGCAGCTCGTCACAGTTTCTCTTGTGGGAGAAGCCCGGCTCGGCCATGTTCGTGCCCATCAGGCTATGCTTGTCCCACTACAGAGGTAGCATGAGGGTGGGACGTATCCTGAGTCTCCACCCTTCCACTCCCTCCAACCACTTCCATCAAGTTGATGCCAACTCAACAGGACCCTTCGGACCAGCCCTGTGAGCATGGCCCATCGTTCTCCCTTCACTACCCCTACAGGAGATAAAAACACAGAGAGAGTTCCGGGTGCCATCAACAAAGAACAGGCAGCAGGGTGTGTCCTGTGGACGGGAGGCCTGCACAGACAACTCCCAGACCCAGAAGACTGACACCAAGAGACGCAGAGACCTCCAAGGCGACAGGTACTGAAAGGACAAGACCTGGCTCAGCCTGGACAAGGAGAAAAAGCCTCCCCAGAGCTGGCTCCAACTTCCAGTCTCCTCAACTGTAAAAGGTGCCTGTTACAGGTACCTATGGGCGATACACCCAGCACTAGAGGGCTATGACAACCTTTTGGCGAGCAGCAGGCAGAAGGCAGACATTCCTGCTGCACCAAAGTCCCCTCTACCCTCACCCTAGCCCAGGCCAAGAGGAATGGACTGGCAGAAACCTGAATAGCAGCGAGTGTGTAGACTGGGGTTCTGGAAGGTACCCCCACATGTCAACAATGCCACACATGTTTCAATGCTAAGCTGGGGCACTCCCATGGCTTTGCAGACCCACTATACCTGGCTTCCTACCTCAGCCTACTTGTTTCCAAGATCACTCACATGGTCTCCGAGCCTAAAGGCAGGTTATCTGCTATCAAAGGCACAAACTGCAGTCTCGGGCTTCTCCCCACTAAAGATCACCCCACACCATTGCCGCTCTAGTCAGTTAGGAGACCATGTTCAGGCTGAAGGCTGAGGGTTTGTGTGGAGAGGGGACACACGTCAAGCACGTTACATCACAGGAGGAGGGAAAGCCATGCAAACGCAAGACAGTCCAAGTCACCTGCACAGAATGTACGAGCCTGGCTCTCACACAGTGGGCCTGATGGCTGCAGCCTAGCTCCAGTGACTCACAGGAAAACCCACATCAAGGAGAAGAAACATGCATGGGGGCAGCACATCCTGGTCATCATCGTTGCTTTCAGTGACATCAAGCAAGTCTCGGGCTGGTCCAGGATGCTCACTACAGCAAGCAGCTGACCTGTTTTCTACCAAGCCAGAGATGGTCTATAGTCACCTCCCTCTGAAAACAGGAGCATGTCGTTAGGGAAAGGGCCCTTGCAGGTGGAGAGAAAACTAACTGATCAGGAAGGCAGACAGGCAGAGGGGTGCCAGGCCCCCAGGAAGCTTCCAAATGCACCGAGCCCTCAAACCAAACTCTATACAGCAGCTGGGATGAAACACACACACACACACACACACACACTCTCACAATCTTAGCAAAGTCTAGATGGAAGCAGTCTGCTGACCTTCTGGCATGACTGAGGTGACGCTACAGGGAGCTGGGACTTGGAAGTCAGTGAGGGTGTGGGCTACGCTGACCCTTGTCCTGGCCAGTCTAACCACTGGCACAGAAGCATATTCTCTGAAGTCTGGTAGCCGGGACTCACAAATGTCAACACTGAGTAAGTCCTTCACAAAGTGCACAAGGAAGGCTCGGGTACTCCGCCTTGTAGGTGCACAAGTACAATTTAGGGGACGCACTTCATATATGAACAATACGGTCTCTTTCCAGACTCAATGCCAAAACAAGGTCAGGAAACTATATTAGCTAAAAACTTACCGGAATTCCAGGAAAGAAACTATTATCTCAGATCATTTGGCATTGTAGAATTTGTAATTAAAGCAATTGAACCAAGGACAACAGTCTGGGTACACATGGACACACACATGCACACACACACACATTCTCAGCAAAGTCAAAATCGAAGTTATCTGGGACTGAGGGCTGCAGAGGATCCCGGAAGGCCCTGGCTCCCGGCCAAGAAGCAGTCCACTGGGAGGGCAGTTACGGCAATTGGCATTATACAGTTCACAAGCACGATGTCATGCATCCTCATGTGGTCTTAAAAACCAGTGCATAGCCGTCTAAAATGCAACCAGGGGTCTCTCCCCAGCCAGAAGAAAGAGAATGAATAAAAGCAATGACTGGAGGGAGCAAGTCATCCAGAGAACTAGGTGACCCAGTGCCACCACTGCCCTAAGACCAGAAAAACTGGATGGTGCCCATGACCATGACCAACTGCACGAAGAGATTAGAATGGGAGAAAATACAGAACACAATTTGTAGTCATAAAATGGATCAAAAAGAGTAAAAATTGTTAAAAGATTATTGCTCAACTAGAGACTGAGGGAACCTTTAGATGTACTTCAAACCTGAACGTGAACCTACCCCAGGAATCACCTTGCAGCCAAACAGCAGACAGGCCTACAAGTGAACAGCAGCACTCATGAGGCAGCATTTGTGTGTGAGCACACCTCAACCCCGGCACTCCCCCCAACAAAGCCCAGAGGCAGGAGGACTGACAGGAGACAAGAAGCCTGCTACCTTAAGGGCAGTGCTGCCAGTGTTACAAACTAGCACAGATACACGCTGTGAAGGGAACACTAGTGTGCTCTGCAGATGTCCACCCAGACCACAGAAGTTACAAAGAAACAGAACAAAGCCCCTGGGTGGACCAGAGCCCTATGGGCAGCACCAGAGGTGGCACCCCAGCCTGAGCCGTCGCCCCACCAACCTGTGAAGGCACGGCGCTTGAGGCTCAGCTCGTTGCTCACGCGGACCTGGGTGCAGAGGCGCAACATCAGCAGCATGGTCAGGATCATGATGATGCTCTGCCACATCAGCGGGGCCTCGAACTGCCTTCCAAACCTAGGGAAGCAAAGGGATGCCGCTGCAGACTCCTGACCAACTCACGGCTACTCTGAGAAATAGCCACCTACCTGTGGCCAGGCAGCAGGGGGGGTGGGGGAGGGGGGGGGGCAAGGAGGCTGAGGGTCAGCTTCAAGATGCACAGCAGAGAGTCCAGAATCCATCAGAGAATCTCCCCACAGACCTCCAGGTCAGAAGGCTGACTGACCACGTGCGATGCTGGCCGTCTTGCACAGAGGGCCCCTGCCGCGTTTTAACTTTTCCAGTGGAAGCAATGCGTGACCAGAGGAACCCAGAGGACGTATCCAGGAGTTTGCTTCGCTGGCCCAACTGTCAAACACAGATGGACCCAAAGTTGACAGAAAAGTGGAAGACATTTAAAATGGACCATAAGCAGCCCTGGTGTGTGGTTAACTGGTTTCAGGGTGAAGACAGGTGAGTCTGAGATTGTAAAAGGCACAGGCTTCTACCAACAACATAAATAGGAAACATGATGAGTAATCTCAAAATCGAATCAGAATAGAAAGACACCCTTTTATGTATGAGTGTCTGACTTCTTAGGGCTGCAGGGTGTGGAAGCCTCAAACCATCACCTCCCCCCACCACCACCACCCGGCACACAAACACACACACACACACACACACACACACACACACCATAAAGTGACACTTTCTAGAGCCCGGGCCCCAATGCCATCATACCTGAGGGCACACCTGCACTGCCCAGCCAGGTCCCAACTGAGTCCCTCCAGGTGCACTGCCCCATACCCCCTAAGCAGTAAGAAGTACTCAAGGCAATGAGTGTGTATCCATGGCCCAGAACCACTCAGGGCTATCCACCACAGAAGCAACTTATTACCAGTTGCAGGAATGTGGGGATTAGGCTAGGATTCCAGCAGCACCAGCAAGGGGCCTCCTCCCCAACACACTGGGCCCTTGCGTGCCCATCTCCTCTGCATAATCAGAAACCCACGCATATCAGCACAAGCCCTGCTCCAGATTTCCAACACCAAAGGCTAATCTGAGACTCCACAACCAACACGGATGGGCAGCAGTCAAGAGATCAGACTGTATGACACGGGCAAATCTGCTGCAGGGACCACTTTAAAGCGGTAAAGAACAAGGCTGTCATTTTGAGGCTACTAAGGTATGTCCGACCCAAGTCATGGTATTTCAACCACCTCAGATGCATGGATAATGAATAAGGACGGTGACAGAAGATGTGAAGTATCTGAATTATGGTGTTGAAGAATACTGAAAGTACCATGGACTGCCAGAAGGACAAATCTATCTTGGCAGAAATACAGTCACAACCCTCCTTAGAAGTGCAGATGGTGGGCTTCATCTCCTGTGCTTTGGACATGTTATCAGGAGGGCCCAGGCCCTGGAAAAGGACATCGTGTGTGGTATATGGTGGTGGTGGTGGTGGTTAGGTTCTGTGCAGCGAGTTGGTTCTGACCCAGAGGGCACGTATGCGCAACTGTAAACACTGTTAGGTCCTGTGCCCGCATCACAGTCGATCCTATACCTGGGCCACTGTTGCATCGAGCACATCAATCCGTCTCCTTGAGGGGCCTTCCTCTCCTTCACTGCCCTCTACACTTCACTGAGCATGATGTCCTTCTCCAGAGACTGGTCTCTGCTGACATGTCCAAGGTATCTAAGATGAAGTCTCGCCATCCTTACCTCTAAGGAGCACTGCAGCCTTCAGTGTGTATTACAACTCAATGTAAAGAAGTCCTAAATCCTCACAGCTGGACCAAGAGGTAACGAACGTCCTGACGCGTGGTGCCATCAGCAGAGAGGAAAGCCCTCAAGGAGATGGAGTGACACAGTGGCTACAGCAATGGGCTCAGACAGCACAATGGTGAGGACGGCACAGGACCAGGCAGGGTTCCCCTTCTGTTGTACGCAGAGTTGCTATAGGTCCAGATCAACTCAACCATACCTAACAACCACAAACAGGCGAAGCAAGTTAACTTGGACCCAGAGCTTCTTTGATGCTGTGTACCTCAGATCTCCCAGAGGAACATTGAGGGTACACCCCAAATAGATCAATGTCCAGGGGACTAAGCTCCCTGGACCAGCTTTGGAAAATGCTGCTCAAGAGTCTTAATCCCAGGAGGGGGGAGCGGGGAGGGAGGGGAAAAATGAGGACCTAATGTCGGGGGTTTAAGTGGAGAGAAAATGTTTTGAGAAACGATGTACAAATGCGCTTTACACAATTGATGTGTGTATGGATTGGGATAACAGTTGTATGAGCCCCTAATAAAATGTTTAAAAAAAAAAAGAGTCTAATCCCACCAGGTCTTTCACTACCAAGTCCTGCACCTACGCCCCCTCCATAGTTCCCAACCTCTCTTCTCCTCTCCTATGTCCCACTGCCACCAGGTGACAGCTATCTATGTGGTGGGTAGCTGGATAGACAGAGGTAGGTAGGTCAATAGGTGAACAGGAAAGTAAGCAGATGGGCAGGTGAGTAGGTGAATTACATGGATGAAGGAGGGGGAGGATGAGACATAGGTAAGTAAGTGGTTGGGTGGGTGGATACATGTTAGGCAGGTGGATGGGTGGATAGGTGGTAGAATACCACTGGGAGATGGGAAACCCTCAACAAATTCACTGGATCTAAGGGGCTGTAAACCCATGAAGACAGGAAGGCAGTGCCTGAGTGGAGGCCAAAGGGGGAACTCCAGAGAAAAGAATGGGGGCATCATCTGCATTAACTTCCAGCTTGGACTGGGTGGAGCAGAGCAGCACCTATATGCATCCTGGACCTTGTATGCCTGCCTTTGCTCACCAGCCCCACACACTACAGCAGGCAAGGACTGGGGCCTGAGCCCCACACCAGAGACAGCCAGGTGGGGGCAGTATCCTCCAAGCTCCCCCTCTCGCTCCCTTGGACTATAGATTTCCTAATGTGTCCTAGAGCTCTGAGGGGTGCAGGGCCCAAGTTAGAGAAGGCTGGCTGGGAGGGACTCCACAGTCAGAATGCAGCTGCCACAGAGGGCCAACAGGATCAGAAGCAGACCCACAGGGAGCAAAGGCTGCCCCAAACTGCACAGGCCTCCTCAGACCTTAGTCCTGAGCCAGTTGGAGCCCCTGCAGGCCAGCAGAAAGGCTGTCTTCACTCTCTGACCTCCTCAAACCAGGTAACTGGCAATTCTGAGTGATAAACAGGCTAGAGTTGGCCTCTCCAGAGAATTGTTCTCCATGGGGTGGGACCAGTTGCTTTGCAGAAAAAGGCATCTCACAGATCCAACACCGTGCCTGCCCTCACCCAACCTCTGGGCCTTGGAGTAAACAACTGGACTGGCAGGGTGAAGTCCAGGAAGTTTGTGGCTTCAGGTCCACCTAAGCGAAAGAACTTTCTCAGGCCACCCTACCATGAGCAGGCCCTTCTCCAAAGGGGAAATGGGTAGAGAAAAGGAAGGACTTTTAGAGTGTGGTTTCCGTGGGCTAAACAAAAGCAAACACCCGCCCTTGGGCCTCCCAGCAGAAGGAGCTTTGGCTCAGAGACACATCCAGGGGAACATGAAGAATGTTTTCTAACACACCAGCTGGCCTTGGTGGCCACTGAGGGAGAAGCTCTTTGACTGGTGATGAAACACTTTTAAAGTCCTGGACAGGCAAAGCTAGTGGCCACCTGCGCCTGGCAAGGACTAAAGGCAGAGAAGCAGAGGAACTTCGGGGTGCATGGAACTTGTTTCTTGGGCACGGTGGCTAATGGTAGGCACAGATGCCCAAACTCATCAATTTTACACTTCAAATACATTGGATGTAAATTATGCCTCAATATGGTCTAGCCACACAGTGGACTATTTATTCAGCCATAAGAGAAAGGAAGTCCTGACGAATACATAGGGACTAGCCTTAAAACACTCCACTGAGTGACCTGTGTGGCCCCAATCAGACCCCTGAGAGCTAGAGCAAAGGCCCCGCTGATTCACCTCCTGGCAACCCAGTGCTAGAGCAGAACGAAGTTCCAGAGGAGGGTCTTCTTGCTTTGACCTTTTACGAATTTAGATCACACCACCCTGCCCTCACCCCTCACCCCACCTCCAGGGGACCAAGGGTGGGTGCAAACTGCCGGTGTTTTTGTTAGCAGCCACGTACAAATAACTGTGCTACCAGGGTCTGGAATCAGGCACCAAGCTGGATGGTGCCCCTTCCATCCAACATCCAGACTCATCGAAGAAGAGAGTAAAGCTTACCAGGGGCTGGGGGCCCAGTGAAGAACAAGGGGTCATGCTTAAGGGGTACTGGAAAGTGACAAAAACATTTTAGAAGTGGGCAGTGGTGAAAACTGTACAGCATAATAGATGTAATTGATGTCACTGGCCTGTATGGGCGAAAATGGCAAGTATTAACCTGATACTTTGCAAGGCTAGTACTGGGTTTGAGGGCTATGGACCATGGCCTCATGGGACCATGTGGTCCAGTGACCCAGCGTGGCTCGTTAAGATAATGTTCTACAACCTAGTTTGTGAGCTCTGCCAGCTAAGATACGACGACTGACCTGTGGGCATGTGGGGCAGAAGAGAAGAGAAGAGAAAGAAACCAAAGACAGAGGAGAGGTGAGTCCACAGAGCTAAGTCTGCACAAGCCAGGCCTCACCTGCCTGGGACAGAAGAGCAAGATGCTGCCAGGCCACCACTCAAATCTTAAGTGCACCTCATGGAGGACACTGATGACGTTTTCAACAGGCCAAAGACAAATCATCCGGAGGAGGGAGACCATTAGCATGAAGCCATCTGGCATCCCGGGGTTAATAGTAAATCAGTGGCTTAAGTAGGACATGGGAGGTCAAAGGACACTGGCAGAAAAGCATGACTGGCAGCAACTCAAGACATCACAGTTCAGGGAGACCACAGCACTGGGAATGGGACCGTGCTGGGACATCAGACAAAAGCGCTTACAAGACTGACCCAGGGACCTCCAACCACGGCACTCAGGATGAGTCTCATGACTCTGCTACCCCAGCTCCCCAATCTCCATTCAGAACACTCCCTGGGCTGGCCAGGGGCGCCACAGTAAGTCACTTTCAAAACACTCAGTCTGAGGGCAAGCTAATCCACTTTGATCAGAAAAGAGATTCAATGGAGGCCCAATGATTTGGGACTTTCACTGTAAGCCTAGCCTTTGGCCACCTATGCTCAGAGTTTAAGCTCTAGCATGGGACTCAGCATTCTCACCAAAAGACATACAGAAAGAACAGCAGAAATGAAGGCGGCAAAATTCAAATTCCCAAAAGGGCAGACTCACAGGATGTCTGTGACTACTAGCCCTTGAAGTCCTTCAGATGCAGAAAGCCAGCCACAGCTGGCCTAACCTGTCAGCCAAGGATGGAGGGGCTCGTTAACTGAGTACCATCACTCCAGAGTAAGGAGTGCCTGCGTCCAAACGAGGCCCTGTGGTCCATATTGACCCCAGACCAGCTCAGGGCGGTACCAGGGACGAGGGAGCTGGATGAATGGAAAATGGGCCATCAGAATAGAAACGGTCTGCTGAAACCTCATAAGAAGCCTATCATCAAAGTTGCCCAATAATCTGTACAGAAACTGTTCATTGAGAACCTAACCGACCATGTAAATGGCTTCCAAAAACATAGTAAAACATTAAAAAGAAATAAAGGAAAAGGCAGCAGAGAAGTACTGGGCTACCTGGCTGGAGCGGCTTCCCTCACCCACCTGCCCTGGGAGCTGCACACCCTGTCTCAGGTCCACAACAAAGGAAGATTCTAGATGTCCAGGGCTTGAAATGCACCAAAGGCCTCTTTACATCTTCCCCTGAACAGTCCTCCTCCTAGTTATGTCTGGCTTTAGCAAATGTTAGAATTCATTTCCATTTCCTTTGCAGAGCACCAGGATAATAAGAGGAAGTTGTCTGGGCAGGAGGCAAGAACTAGTTGAAGTAGACTTCCTATTAAAGACACAGACCTAGTGGGTCAAAGCCAGGCCTGGAAGGGTGGGGGCCACTGTGCCTTCAGGGCAGCCCCACAGCTGTGGGTCTCAGCCCTAAGCCCACTCCCCAGGACCCCCAGAGGCCTTCCTGGGCCGTGGGTGGTACTTGTTGCATTGACTTTGTCCACCTCTCTCTGCCCTCCTCCAACTGGAATGAGTGCCCTGAGAGCAGGGACCCTATGTGGATGTGGCCACGTGTAAGTGTGAGTGGCCTACAAGCAGCACGGGACTGAAGGTGCTCTTGGAGTCCTGCCCCAGGCCCACTGAGGTCTGACAGGGAGTTCCCCAGCGGGGCGGGCCCTGGGGGCTGCCCCCAGGAAGGTGGTCTGTCTTTTCGAACACAGCCTGCAGCTGGGGGTAGGGGGAAAGGGCAGCATCCTCCCCTAAAGTTGGCAGCCCTCGAAGTCCTTTGGGGCAGCGACTCGCAGCACCCAGCCCAGCCCCCACTGAAGTTGGGGGGGGAGGGAAGGGGACCAAGGGGCTGCCCGGCCAGGCGCGGGGCCAAGCCCACTCACCAGAAGAGGATGCGCAGGATGTTGGCCACGAGCAGCACCAGGCACACGTAGGTGGAGAAGCCGTCGGCGTTCTGCGTCCTACGGATGTCGCGGTACTGCGGGATGTAGGGCACCACGCCGCCGAAGACCATGGCGCCGGCCGCGCCCCACGCCACCAGCTGGCGCAGCGGCTCCAGCAGCCAGACCAGGCCCTCTGTCTCCATGGCGCCGCGGCCGCGCCGCGCTGCCCCTCTCACCGCCACATCGCGGCCCGAGTCGCGCCAGCAGCCTGCGGGCAGGGCGCGGGCTGAGCCTCGGGTGGCGCACCCGCCCGCCTGCCTCACGCAAAGGCGCCGCGGAGTCCAGGCGCAGCCGGTAAGCAAACAGGGGCTGACGGGGGGTTCGCACTAGGGAGGGGGGCGCCCCGGACACCCAACCTCCCCACCGCCGGGGGCCCCCGCTCGAGCTCTCACCCTCTCACCGCCGTCGTCGGCCGGTCTGTCAGTCGGCAAGAGTACCTGTCCGTCAGTCCGTCCGCGCCGGTCGGGCCGGCGGAGCCCCGCCTCGCGTGACGTCACAAAGCCCAGCGCCCCGCCCGCCCCAGGAGGCGGCCGGAGCTGCTGGGTCCTAGTGCGCGTCGTGCTGCAGGCGGAACCTGCCATGGCCTGGCGCTGCCTCCGCCCGCTCCGTAAGTCCCGAGCCGCTTACACTTGTTGTCCGGGTCCCCGGGCGAGGCGGTCCAGACGCGGCCCACAGCCCGGGGCCATCCCCGAAGGCGGCAGCTCCTGGCCCGGGCTGCAGCCCTCAGCACCATTCCGGTTGGGCCCTGCAGGGCCGGGAGCGTCCCTCGGGGATACGTCCCTTCGTGGGGAGCAGGGCCGCGAGGGTCTTAGTCTTCGTCTTGGAGTGCTCGGTTGGGAGAAGTCGAGGGGATCGGCGCGCAGGTCATCCTCTGAACGTGCCTGCGCCCGCCAGCTTGGGGCATATTACCCAATAAGCAAGGTACGCGCGCGCTTCCTGGTGCTTACTTCCTAATCTGCTGGAAGAGCTTCACAGGTTTGTCACCACCTGAGGCTTGATGGGACACGACGGCAGAACCCACAGCCTGCTCTCAACCAGCCGGGCGCTGTGCCGAGCGGCCCCTACAGGGAGCCAGCCGTGCAGGGCACCCACGCCGAGCGCCCACAGCCCAGGCAGGGGTAGGGCGAGCCTCCTCCGGGAAGGACACCGCGGGGGCGGGGCTGGAGAAGCAGGTCTGCACTCAGCCCCTCCCCAGCCCGAGCTCTAGAATGCCCCCTCCCCTCTGCGGGGTCTCCTCCCTCGCGACTGGGACATCCGTTTCTGCTCTGTGCAGGGACGTGGGGGGAAACTGGCGGGGGCCTGGCACGTGGTCCTGCTCCAGAGCCAGCCTGTGGCGGGCCCTATGGCCACCTGCTCACAAAGAGAGGGGCTCTGACGCCAGGTCTGGACTCCACCGCATCGACATCGCCCCTGGAGAACCTTGCCCACCTGCTGCCCAAGCTCCAACCCAAACCCAGATTCACTGTGCCCGCTTGGTCATGGGCGTGGTGATGCTCCAGGAACAGCCACAACCAGAGTTTGCAGGCTGCAGCAGTTAGTAAATTCTCAGACTGAGGGTACCTCGCTTGGGGGCGGATGGGGCAAGTGCAGCCCTGCTCTGTGGTTGGCAGGACAGCCACCTGGAAGCGCACGCGTGAGCACACCTCCCTTTCCGACCTTCAGACCCTCTCCTTTACTGCTTTCCTTGAGAGAAGAGGGAGGCTGTCTGCCTCTGAGGTCCTTTACTTAAGAATTGCCCACCTCTTAGGGTCAAGGTAAAGACTGTTTGTTTTCATTTGAGAAGCCTTGTTTGTCAAGCAGCTTCTGACTATCCAACCCTCAATGTGGGCAGAACCTGTTATTGTTGTGTCAGGTGCACAGATTACAGTGACCCTATGCACAACAGAAGGAAACACTGCCCGGCTGGGGTCCTGCATTCTTAAGTTTGAGCCCATTGTTGTAGCTACAGATTCAATCCATCTCTCTGAGGGCCTTCCTCTTTTTCTCTGTGGTCCTATAAGGTTTCCAAGTCTGTATAATCTTTAGGGGAGCAGCCAGCCTCATCTTTCTCCCTCAAAGCAGCTGGTGGGTTTGAACCTGGGACCTTGCAGTTAGCAGTCCAGCACTACAGCAGTACCACCAGGGCAAGCAGAAACAGGTAAGATAGGCGTCACCACATGCAGGCAGAGGCAGAAGCTGACCAAAAAAAGACCTGCCTGCAGCCAACAGGAAAATCCTTCCCCCAGAGCTGGGGTTCTAGACTTGGACTTTGAGATAGCATACTGGGTTATGCGTTGGGTCGGCAGTTCAAAACCAGCCACTCCAAGGGAGAAAGATAGACTCTCCACTCCCATAAAAATTTCTATTCTCAGAAACCCACAGAGCCACTTCTTCTCTGCCCTATAGGGCTGCTATGAGTCAGGGTCCACTCAGTGGCAGCGAGTGAGCCACAGAAACTATGAGAAAATAAATTGCTTGTTAAAGGCATCATTTGTGGCACTTCTTATAGGAGCCCTAAGTAACTAATGCAGCTGGCTCCTCACTTTTTAAATAACGACCTTGATTGTACAAAGGCTATAATTTGATAATATCTAATTGCTCTATTTTTCCTTTGTTGCTTTGGGTCCTTTCTGTGTCCGTTGCTAAACTCAAGGTCATGGAGGAGCTCAAAGAACTCTTGAGCAGCTGAGATTGAAGGGCCACCATGGTGGTAGAGCCAGTGTCCGAGGCTCCCTCCCAGCGCTGAAAGCACTGCGACCAGAGGTGCCCAAAAGTCACTCTAGCAAGACTTTGTGTTAAGTGACCTGTTAGAGAACAAGGGACAGTCTGAGCTGGTGGCTTTTGTTCTCTACATCAAGTGTCTATTTCTTATTTGGTGTGCCTTTGAAGGGGAGCTGAAGGAGGCAGTGGGGAGTGGCCATGGTGCTGGAGTGTGGATTGAGACTCCCTCTACCTAGAGCCACTTGAAAGTCTGTATGAAAAATCTGAAATTAGGAGTCAATGTGGGCTGTTCCCAGGGAGCTTTGGTGTCATAGCAGTTAGAGGTTGGGCTGCTATCTGCCAGCTCAGTCCTTCAAAGCTACCAGGTGCTCAGAGGGTGAAAGATGAGGCTTCCTACAGTTAGTCTCAGAAACCCACAGGGAGCAATTCTCCCCTAGCCTGTAGGGTCAACGGCAGTGAGTTAGACTGTTCCAACTGGCCAGAGAGCAATTTGAGCTTCAGCAAGGAGAATTCCAATGATTGAATGCATTTAAATCTAGAAGTTCTTTTACTTTTTTAAGGTAAACATGTTTTACTTTTAATAATATCCATAGCTTTGCATTCCCACATAGAGCAATATCCCCCTGTGGTAGTTACATATCTGTTGTCAGTTTGAGACTTAAGAGTGAAGGGGTGGAGTTTAGCCTGTCAATCAAGTAGCAGAGCTTGATGACCTCATTTGGAGGTGCTAAGGAGACAGATAGCTCACTGGAGGCAGGACACAGATACACTCCCTGCAAGACACTGCTTCATCTTCCTTCTGACAAGACACATGGAGATATGCTAGAGCCCTGAAGCTGAAGGAGCCACATGGAAACAAACCCCTGCCAGCATTGAGATGCTTACAACGCCACTGGATCCAGGAGACGTTCCACCTACTACTGGCCTGTGATCTTCCTGCATTCAGCGCCGTTGCATGAGTTTTGTGAGTCTGAAGAGGAATTTAGAGACTGGTATCAGACATATGGGCTAATATCAGACTTCTGGGCTTGATCTGGACTAGGATGGGATGTTTTTTAATATACAAATGCTCTTTTATATAAAGCTCTTTCTTTTAAAAAAAAAACCATTTTATTGGGGCTCGTACAACTCTTTTTTTTTTTAATCATTTTATTAGGATCTCATACAACTCTTTTCATAATCCATACATACATCAATTGTGTAAAGCACATTTGTACATTCATTGCCCTCATCATTCTCAAAACATTTGCTCTCCACTTAAGCCCCTGGCATCAGCTCCTCATTTTCCCCCTCCCTCCCCGCTCCCCTCTCCCTCATGAACCCTTGATAATTTATAAATTATTATTTTGTCATATCTTTCACTTTCTGACATCTCCCTTCACCCACTTTTCTGTTGTCCGTCCCCCAGGGAGGAGTTTACATGTAGATCCTTGTAATTGGTTCCCCCTTTCCAACCTACTATCCCTCCACCCTCCTGGTATCACCACTTGCACCACTGGTCCTGAAGGGATCATCCGCCCTGGATTCCCTGTGTTTCCGGTTCCTATCTGTACCAGTGTACATCCTATGGTCTAGCCAGTAGCAAATCAAAAAGCTACAGAAGATTTATGGGCAAAAATTAAGCCAGAGAACAAGAAGCCAAATCTGATGAATGTTTATCACATCTTCTCAGTGGGTCCTGTTATCTCTCCCTTCTTACACAATCCAGAGGAATACTTTTATCAACTATTTTGTAAATGCAAGGCTTTTTTGGTAGTTCTAGAAACACTTTTAAGAAGGAGGAAATCTCACTTCAACTTTTTTTTAATGTAAATACTTTTATAGACATGAAATCATTTACTGTTTTTTTCAATTTTTTGACACAGCCAGAAAATAGTGGGATGCTGAATGGTGGGAAGATTTGACTGTCATGGGTACCAACATAACATTCCATGGGGGTGGGCATGGAGTTTTTGTGTCCCTAGTGTAAAACATGATTCATGGCAATTTGGAGTCACCATCATGCGTTTGTATGACTTGAATATTTAACTTTCTGTTTCCATGTTGTTTCTATTAGAATTGTGTCTGAAACTATTCCATAACCATGGCTTTCTCAGAACTGTGTGCATTCTGTAGCACCTTTGGTCATGGTAATCCCGTTTTCCTGACCACTTTGTTATGTGCTGTAAGGGTTCAACATTTGAGTGTGTAGTGTGTGTGTAACAGTAAATTGTGAATTGGTAGGACTTAAGATGTAACAGCTTGTCAACATTTGAAGATAATGGAATTGGATTAAAAAAAGAAAGAAAGAAAGAAAAGATCTAAAAAAAAATGGTATTGGATAACCGCTTAAAAAGTTGTCTCCAAATTTAAAGCTGGAAAGTCCCTGGGATTTAGAATTGTATCTACATGTCATTTTAGAACTTGGGTATGAGCATTAAGAATTGTGTGCAAATTGTTTATGTCTCTGTACTGATCTCAAAACAATCAATAAAATGCCAGTAACAAAAATAATAAATGTCACTAATGCCTGGGCCCAAACCAGAGGACCTGCAGTCACTCATCTGGCCAGGCCCTTGCCACCCTCCCGAGGGCTGACATCTGTGCCAGACATGAGGGCCTGCTACTCATAGATACTGTGCTGGTAAGTATGCCAGGTTTTCATAGTAACTGTTAGAGGATTAAAAATATCAGATTAAGATTGTGCTTTAAGGTGAAAGTTAAATTATTAAAATATAGCAACTATTTTAGAATGATAAAAAGAAGCAGGGGTGAAAAAAA